CAGCCCTTAGCTGAAACACATTTTTTGAACAATGCAAGCTAGTTTCCACTTGCTTTTCTCCCATATGTTAGTGTTGGGAACACAAATTGCTTTTTACCAAACTATGTGTGGAGGTAGATTATATTGAGTATGATTTTTATTTCAGGATATTAGAAGTATATGCTATCCAAAAGGAGGTATGAGGGCTTGGAGGTATGGCTCAAGTGGTAGAGCACCTGTCAAGCAAGATCAATGCCTTGAATTTGAACCAGAAAATGTCCAAGTTTGAACCAGAAAACAAAAAGTGAAAAGCAAAGTGGGGGCTTTAGATTAGCGATATTAAGAGTCCATGATCTGGAACACAAGGGGCTTCCAGGGGCGGGGCAGAGGCCTGGGGCAGAGGCACCTACGTGACGGCGTCAGGCCTTGTTGCTATGAACTGGGGCCATCCTTCTCATCCACTCCTGGCAGATTCTTAGCCCCAAATGGATGCAGAGTTGCTTCCGAGTGATCACCCTTTCCTGTCTTTCCTTTCTTTGACATCCTTTTGTGCTTCTGGAGCAGAGTGCTCCGGCTGGGGAATTCTGAACAGAAGTATGCTAGCCTGGCCGGTTTGATGATACTGATTCCAAGATGGGACCTTGGCAGGGCACAAGGCGAAGGGGCAGGAGACGAGGAGAGAGCAGACCCACCTCTCAGAGCCCTAGTGCCACCACCAGATAGCCCAGGCGCCGTCAGAACCTCCTCCCAGCGCCGTCCAACTGGGCCATCGAGTTACTGGCCCATGAACCTGGAGACACATTCAAATCACAGTAAATTTCTCAAAAAAAAAAGTCTTATTGTACCCAAGAAAACAAATGTTCTGTCATTTTGCATTTCTTCTTTTCAAGTACAGTGATGAATACCATCTTGAGGTATTTTTTTCATTGTTCCTTTTATAGTTGCTGTTGCTGAGGGCACTGGAGGCATCCTCAAACTTTTGGGCAGAGTAGTTCTCAGATGGCTTAGACGGTGTGCCCTTGGGAGGTGCCCCCCTGGCTGCTTCAAGGGCAGAGACACCTTCCCAGTCCTCCTCATGGCCACACACTGCCTGGGGTCTCTGGGCTCTCCAGGCAGCACGTGGTTGGTGTCCAGGATCTAGGAAGAACTTTGTGTCTATTATTTGCTTAAGTACTTGAGTAAGAAGATAGTCAGCCAGCCTAGGATTATGGGATGGCACAAGCTAGACGAACCAAACACACACATCCTTAGGATGCAGCTGCAGGTGAACTTTCCCAAGGGTGCCCTCTCCCAGCTTTCCCCTGTGCCTGTCAGAGTTAGCTAGCATCTGGTTGGGAGAATGCTTCTTTGGGGCAACAGGTAAAACCTACTCTTGCCTCTGAACTGCTAGATCAGACTTGGAAGTGACTGTGAACTTTAATCAGACTGAGAGCCGTGTAGGCGTGTCGACCTTAGCTTCAGCATCTCCTGATGTGTCTATTTTTAAGTTGGTACCCAGGATGCAACTTGAACACAATTAAAGGATTTGGGGTTGCCAGCTCTTTGGCTGACAGCAGCATCAATGGGATATGTGCCCACACAGAGTTCAGGAAGAGACTGAATTACTAAGCATCTCTTACCTAAGGCCTCACATTTTCTGGGCTGTCGGTCAGGGATCAGGGGACACACAGTGGAGTGGGCCAGCCTTCAGTCTGTTGTCCACGTCTAAGATGAGAAGCATGGGCCTGCCTGGTTTCATGACCTATCTGATGGCTGGGGCCTGGAGAAGGCTCAGAGACGATACATAGAACAAGGTCCAACTGGGGGCCTGCAGTACTGCTCTGTCAGTTACCAAGAACAAATCACGACACCTCCCCATGCCCGCTTCCCTCAAGGAATACCATGTAAAAGACAAAATAGTGCATTTAACAGCACCAGGAACTCGCCTAACCTGACACAGTCTGGTTGCTTGTCATTTACAGTTGTATTGGCTACTCTTTAGGACATGTCTAGACCTCAGTCTTGTAAGGCACTGTTACCCAAGGCATCAAGTGACACCTCAAGACTCTGACACCCAAGGCGCTGAGTGTTACCCCAAGGCTCTGAATGTCATCCCAAGACTGAGTGTCACCCCAGGGTGCTATGTCACCCTGTCAGGGTGAAGACATTGAGCCACGCATGTCACAGCACCTGCATCTTGATGCCTAGTCTCTGCGGGTGGAGGCTGGTGGTGTGTAGAGAAGGGAGGAACTCTTCCCACTTCGCAGCCATGCTCAGGATGTGGGCAGAATGTAAGCAGGGCTGTGTGCAGGCTTTCACCCCCACCCCCACCCCAGAATGCCTACTCAAAGCAGCTTTGTAAATAAGCATTTGGTTTTCACCAGCCTACACACTTTTATAGCTAGTCTTCTATTCTTCTAGAATGTAGTGTGTGTGTGTGTGTGTGTGTGTGTGTCTGTGTGTGTCTGTGTGTGTGTGTCTGTGTGTGTGTGTGTGTATGAGTGCACCAGTGCTTGGGCTTGAATTCAGGGCCTGGGTATTGTCCTTTAGCATTTTGCTCAAGGCTGGTGCTCTCCCACTTGAGCTTCAGTTCCACGGCTGGCTTTTTCCCAGTTAATAGGAGATAAGAATCTCATGCACCGGTAGCTCAAGCCTATAATCCTAGCTACTCAGAAGGCTGAGATGAGGATCGTGGTTCAAAGCCAGTCCAGGCAGGAAAGTCCATGAGACTCTTATCTCCAATAAACCACCAGAAAACCAGAAGTGGTGCAGTGGCTCAAGCGGTAGAGTGCTCATCTTGAGCTGAAGAGCTGAGGGACAGCGCCCAGGCCCAGAGTTCAAGTCCCATGACCCACCAAGAAAAAAAAAAAAATCTCACAGGTTTTCCTGCCCAGACCAGCTTCACACTGTGATCGCAGCTCTCACTCTTCTGAGTAACGAGGATCATAGGAGTGAGCCAGCTTAGAATGTCCTTTTGTGTGTCAGGCCTAGGTTTCTTTTTTTTTCCTCAGGGACATAGGTCCTGGTGAAGTTTTTTTGACTCTTGGAGTTGTGTTGGCAGCCATGGGTTCTGTCCAGCTTGGCTTTCCCTGTGGCTAGCCAAGGACCAGGGCAGCGCTGGCCCCTGCAGGCCCTCAAGGGGACACTGTATGCACAGGTGCGTTCTGCTGTGTGACAGCTGGTACTCAAGAGCTTTTCTTTTTGGGGGGGGGTCCGGTTGTGGGGCCTGAACTCTGGGCCTGGGCGCTGTCCCTCAGCTCTTCAGCTCAAGGCTAGTACTCTACCACTTGAGCCACAGCGCCACTTCCGGCTTTTTTCTTTTTTCTTATGTGGTGCTGAGGAATCGAACCCAGGGCCTCATGCATGCACGGCAAGCGCTCTACCACTGAGCCACCTTCCCAGCCCCTCAAGAGCTTTTGAGAGCTCCTGTCTAAGGGATCTTGGGATCTATCCAGAGTCGCTTGTCTTCTCTGGGACCATATCCCACACCCAGTGGGAACTGGCTTATGATGGCTCCCATCTCAGGGAGAACCCCCACAGCACCTAGAGGCCTCTCTGAAGTTAAGGGGCCCTAAAGTGGTGGAGGGGGCTCAGCAGCTATCCTTGGACAGGCAGGGTTCCTACAGGAAAGGGGGTGTCCAGTGTTCTGTCTGTGGGTGCGTGCCATACCTTTCCTCTCACTTGCCTGAATCAACATAGTGTGGGAGAATCTTCTTTCAGAGTCAAGCAGTAGTTGGAGAAGGTTTCTGCTTAGTGAGTTAGGAGGTTTTATGAATACATTAACTGAATGGCTATGAATTCTCATGGCACCGTGTGACACCTCTGGCAGTCTCTGCCATCATGTGACACCTTTAGTGTCTTCCCTGTCATCCTTCTCCCTTCCCACCTTCAGCCTCCAGGGCTCCTCATGCTCCTCTCTAGCTGCACTGATCCTGAGATTCCGGTCTTGGCCATATCTGTATTACCAGGACCTAGCCCCTGCCGGCTGTGTAGTGGGTGCTGGAAATCCCTGTCATGAATGAATGTTTGTGTGGACAGCGGGTCCTACTTCCTGTGCTTCACGGCACTCTGGGAATACCAAAGCTCTTTGTTTACAAGGTAAAGGCAGGAATCATGCAAATGTGGTCCCGTTACCTAGGCAATGTGCTCTCACACGGAGCGGCTCCTATGACATTACTCCTGCTGGTTTCTGTCCCTCCTCTCCTGCATCCCTTTGCAGGCGTGCTTCCAGGGCTCTCTCCTGGCACTGAGCATGTTCTGTCTGTGGATGCCATCCTTGCCCTGGCCCTCTCTATCAAGAGGCCCCCCTCAGAGGCCTTTTTCATCCGTGAGGACCTTACTGAGCCTGAACATCTCACTGGAAGTACCATATGCTTCTCACACTCTTTCTAGCTCTTTGACTTGGTAATCTGAGAGCCCTGGAAAGAACTGTTAGGGCGGGAACCACTACCGCCATTTCTTCCCCTTTACTCTGTAAATCAACAGGGGCTGCTCAGAGTAGGACTTTTCATTGGGATGATGGAGTTGAGGTTGATGCACGAGTCAGAGTTAGCACTTGCCAGTGTTACCTGTGCAGTGGATTACAGGAAGTATCCATGACATTAGATCATTGGTTTTTTTCACCCCCTAAGCCCCAAGCTATCCTTGTAGTTTTGTTCTTACTTAGCCAAAAATAAGAAAATACCAACAAAAGTCCTTGATTCTTGGTCTCGATGAATTATTTCAGATCAGGGCTTGGTAAGGTGTAGTTTGCCTAAAAATGGGAAAAATCGACAGGGCATTGAAAGCATGGTGCCGATTGGGTTCCTCTGCCCAGAACTACAAAAGGATGTTGCGTCCTTGGTTAGTGGGAGCTCCTGTGGGTTTCAGTAGGGGACTGGCTATGTGCGCGTTGTCCTTTTGATGGCATCAAGGGTCTACAGTGTATTGCCCACTAACTGTTGGCCATTTTCTTCTTTCCCTCCTGTGAGCCACTAAACCAGTCATAAACATTTCCTGCAGGTGACCTAATCTGTTTTATGTCTCTGTCACGTCTCCTGCAGATTTCAGCAATGTCCCTGACATCACAACTGGTTTGAAAAGGAGTCAGACGGATGGCACTCTGGATCAGGTGTCCCACAGGGAGAAGATGGAGCAGACCTTCCGGGTAAGAGGCTGGTCCAGTTTGCAAACTGAGAACCAGGGAGGCAAAGGTTAATTCTTGTCATTTCCTGAGGTGGGGATTAAAAAATGGAGTTTTACAGTCCCCACCTCTAGCATTGGATGCAGATAATAGTTTTTGTTTTGTTTTTAAAGATAATACTTTCCACTGGGTACTGGTGGCTCACACCTGTAATCCTAGCCAACCCAGGTATAAAAGTCCTTGACACTTATCTTTAATGACCAGCAAAAATCTGGAAGTAGAGGTATGGCTCAAATGGTAGAGTGCCAGCCTTGAAGGAAAAATCCAAGGAAGAGCACAAGGTCCTGTTCAAGCCCCAGTACCAGTACACACACACATACACAATAAGATAATAGTTTCCAAGCTCGGTATAATGAAATATACCTGTAATCCCAGTACTTAAGAAGATACGTTGTACGTTCAAGGCCAGTGTGGCCTAAATATTGAGACCCTGTCTGAGAAAACCCAAACCAAACAAAAAGTAGTTTCCTTTTCTACTGTTTATTTTAATTTTTACTGTTATTATAAAGGCGATATAGAGAGGGGTTACAGTTACCCATTGTTTATTTTTCAAAAACCATATGCAGTAGTCAGGACGCCCCCGTGATCTTCAGCAGACATCAGAGAATAAGGCAGATGTGCCATGATGTCCTCACACTGGATAGGGTTTGCTGAGTGACCTTGACAAGGAACTCCTGTGCTCAGGTGTTCTGAAATTACTGTTATGATATTATTATTAGTAGTAGTCCTGAGGCTTGAACTCTGGACCTAGGCACTGTCCCTGAGCTCTTCAGTTCAAGGCTAGCACTCTTCCACTTGAGCCACAATGCCACTTCTGGTTTTCTAGTGGTTAATTGGAGATAAGAGTCTCCAGACTTTCCTGCCTGGGCTGGCTTTGAACTGCGATCCTCAGATCTCAGCCTCCTGAGTAGCTAGATTAAAGGCGTGAGTCACCAGTCCCCGGTCCTGATATTATTATTATTAAAATATTATTACCTTTTTGTCCTACATAATTCTTTTGGCCAGAGATCAATTATTTTTTGAATGTTTTCATTTTGTTATGCTGCAGTGTGTGTGACACAAAATTTGCTACTATTTTCAGTTATACACACCACTGGCCCTGAGGCACACACACAATGCTTTGTAACTATCATCATGTCTGTGGCCAGAGCTCCCTTACTGTTCCAGACAGAAGTGCTCCATATCGTCTCCTTCAACCCCCTGGACACATCAACCATCCTTTCTTCTCCTTTGCCAATTCTAGATTCCTCATCTATGAATGGAATTGTGTAGTATCTATCCTTAACATGTCTCCTATGTCATAGCTCCATTTCTGGCTTTTTGGTAGTTAATTGGAGATAAGACTCTCACAAGCTCTCACAGAGTCAGGACTGACTCTGAACCTTAATCCTTGGATCCCAGGCTCCTGAGTAGCTAGGATTATTGGCATTAGCACCTAACCAAATCAATCCGTATTGATTGGTTTGTTATAACCTTTTTCTTAAAAAAAAAACAACAAAAAGCAAAGGCTTGTGGAGTAGAGCTCTGTATTTAAGGTGAGGGCTGTGATGCACTGGCATGGCTGGTGCTTAAGGGAAATGACTTAATGCCAGTGACTTAATGCCAGCTGGATAAGGATTTTTCTCTCCATGATGCTCTGTTTGACATATGCATTCAAGTTCTAAAGAAGGAAATGAATTTTCCCCATGTTGTATGTTAAGATTTGGTAAAATAGATACATGGAAAGTTAGCCTACTGAGGCTGTGTCCAGTCCTATTCTACGACAGGCTTGTCACCAGCACATGAAGCAGGACTGTTAGGAAGTTAGAAAAAGGAGAAAATGCATTTCAGGTTGCATCTGGAGTAATCTCAGTTTCCGCTGTGAAAAGTGGTGAAGGGAGAAAGCAAATGTATATGTGTGTGTCTGCATACACACCCAGGAACATGGAATTGAAGTCCTGTGTAAGAGAATACAGGTTGAGCTGGGCACTGGTGGCTCACACCTGTAATCCTAGCTACTCAGGAGGCTGTGATCTGAGGATTGCAGTTCAAAGCCAGCTAGGTCAGGAAAGTCCGAGATTCTTATCTCCTATAACCCACTCAGAAAACCAAAAGTGGTGCTATGGCTCAAATGGTAGAGCGCTAGTCTTGAGCTGAAGAGCTGAGGGACAGTGTCCAGGCCCAGAGTTCAAGCCTCACAACCAACCAAAAAAAAAAAATACAAGTTGAGTATCCCTCATTCAAATAACTGGGTAAGACAAGAAGTGGTTCAGAGTGTGAGTCTTCCGTGTGTGTGTCTCCCCCCCCCCCCCCCCCCCCCGCCAGCCCCATTTAGTAATGTCAACGTCACATAATGAGATACCTCCAGGATGGTCCTCTGGTCTCTACACAGAATCCATTTGTGCTCCATGCACACCTTACCCACACACACTAAGGGCTTGTGCACAGTGTTGCTGGTGCCCGTACACTTCGACCGAGCCCAACAGGCAGTCAGGTGTGGAATCTGCTTCGTGGCATCGTGTTGGTGTCTCAGGTTTTGTGGCTCTTTGGATGTTGGGTTTCTTTAGAGTGTGAGCAAGTTAAATGTGTGCTGTCCAGGTCCCTCAAGTCTGAGGCCATCTCTTACCTGGTATTCTTTTTTAATATTATATTTCCTTTTATTCTTTTAGAAAATTCATTTTAGGGGCTAGGAAGGTGGCTCAGTGGTAGAATGCTTGCCTTGCATGCCTGAGGCCCTGGGTTCGATTCCTCAGCACCACATAAGCAATATGAAAAAAGCCAGAAGTTCTTACCTGGTATTCTGAGGTGGAGATACCTGCATATAACAGTGGATTTCTGTGCACTAAAAACAGAGTGAAGAGATTCCCATAGCTTTGTGTTCTTTGTCTCTTGGGACAAATGAATCTGTGGTCACCAGCAGAAGTCACTGTGATGGAAAAGATAGTATCAAAGGGTTTTAAAAAGTTCTGTATGATAGTTTGACCTCGTGGAATACCAGGTTATCTCTGAATGCAGCCATCGTGTATGTGTGTGTGTGTGTGTGTGTGTGTGTGTGTGTGTGTGTGTGTGCACGCGCGCGCGCTTGCACGTGCTTGAGCACTGGGACCTGGGTACTCTACTACATGAACCACAAGGCTGGTACTACTACATGAACCACATCTCCACTTCTGGCTTTTGCTGGTTAATTGGAGATAAGCATCTCATGGACTTTCTTGCCCAGGCTGGCTTTGAACTGTGATCTGTACATCTCAACCTTCTGAGTAGCTAGGATGATTACAGGCATGAGCCACCAGCTCTCAACTCCTCTTCTGTTTTTGAAATCGTGATGTGGGGTGCTATCTTGTATGTTCCCAGTATGTGCTGGGAGTGGCCAGACTTGCTATCTGACTGAGGTCTCAGGAGGTGATGGCTCCTCAGCCAGACCTGCCTCTGCCTCCCAGGTCTTCCCACGGTCACCAGTTCTCTTTTCATTCGGCTCAGGTTGAGCCTGGACTATTGGGGGTATTTCACTAACAAGTATCTAGACTTGAGAATAAGGAATAATTTCTATTGAAAACCATCCAAAGCTGACTTGATCAAGCACAGCTGTACCCAGGCTTTTGACAGCCCCACAATTTCTGCAAATGGTTCATAATTGATTGCCTTCTCTCTCTCCAAGGGTGCCCATTACTGTCAGAGCTCTTTGTGTGACCCTGTCAGCCCCTCCTGCGTGGAGAATTCTTTCCCCTGGTGTTGTTAGCAATTAGCCTGCACTATTGTCATCATTGGGAGTTGGAAAGGAATAAACACTTTCTCTTGGGGTGAGGGGGTTGAAAGAGTCTTTGGTTTGTTTTGGGGACTTGAGGCGTGTTAACAGCTGTCCCCCGCCAAAATGCTGCTCACCTTTCCTGTTCTGTGTGCGGAGCTGGCTGTGGACATGTGGCACTTGGTGACTTTGTCATTGCCACGTCTGCGAAGCCTGGTGCTTCTCCAGAGCAGGCAGGCTTGCAGCAGGGGTGGGCTACAGGAGGAGGTAGGTGAGCCTTCCTCAGTCACTGAGCTGCTTGGAGGATGGCTGGGTGGCGCTAGGACGTCCTTGTGGGTGGGTGTGGCTGAGAAGAACACTAGGGAGTGTTTTCATTTCATTTGCTGGGAATGAGAGCAAGAGGGCTCTGCCTTCCACCCTGCTGGAGAAACCCTTCTGGGACAGAGAGCAGGTTCCTCTGAACGTGTCCTTTCCACATGCAGTAGGTAAGTGAAGGTGGGCTTGGAATTCCCAGGTATAGCTCCTGATCCCAATGCAGGCAGGCTGGCAGGGTTTTCCTTCTTGATCAGAAGTTGCCTTTACTCCAGCAATGTAGAAAGGCTGTTATGCAGATGAGGAGCTCTGCTTGTCTTTCCAGAAGGGACTCTTGACAGTACCCTTGAAGCCCGAGAGAACCCTTTTTGTGTAGTAGTTGTGTGTCATGGTTAAACTTTTCTCTCAGCCTGAGGTCTTCAAATTGATCTTTGCATTAATTTTGTTGGTTTGAAATAAAAAAGCCATCAGAAAGGCCTATGGAAACATCTACTCCGTATAATTATGTTTGGAAAGAGAGAAAGGGGGAATTTGAACATAGCAAATAATTTTATGCTTGCTAAATTTCTTTGGAGCAGAGCATTTACTTGGGCTTACATTGTAAAAGCAAATCTACAGAAATGAATGAACCCCTCTTTCATCCAGGTAAGCAGAATGGTTTTTTTTTTTATTTAGTTCTCCCTGGTTAAATAATTTTACAGCTTTTTGCAAGAATTTTATATAATCACCTAGTGTGGCGGTGGCAGTGATTATTTTTGCAGTTGGTAGGCGTTGTGTTGATGAACAGCGAGCTTTGGGATCTGGAGACATACAGCATGACAAGTGTGTGTGGTACTGTTGGTGATCCAGTCTCGTTTAAGATATATTTTGTCCTGTTTGTTTTTGCAAAGTAGAAAAGAATGCACACTAATGACAAGGCTTTCAGTACCCAGCGTGAGCGTAACTTGTATTTAATATTTGACTCCTGCTGCCCACTTGGCTCCACCTTTTGAGGTTTTTCCACAGGAATTGTTTTTAAGAGTCTGCATATCTAAGAGTCTAAAGCAGAAGGTTTGGGGGCTACATGCTTAGTTCTAGAGGCTCCTTCGGGCGTACATGTTTTGTGCATTTCCTGCATTATTTCCAGGTCTTCTGGATTGTAAGATGCTTCTAACACAAAGATCTAATCACTATCCTTTTCTTAAAACTACACATCCCTATTTCTAAATGTAAGTTGCCTGGATGAATTTCAACTAGAGAACCTCTTTGAAGCAAATTGTTTGTGTGTGACATTTTCCTGTAGTGAGGACAATCTCTCCTGAAGATTTCATCCCACTAGCTTTTTTTTCTTGCAGGCTGCTATATATTGGAAAGAAATCCTGATCTGTTGGTTGGAAACTTGAACTTGTGTGATGGTCCACATGTGTGAACTGGGGCAAGTTGTGGAACTTTTAGATAACTTTAAAGCTCTAAATCCCCTTCCCTGGTAGATTTCTCTTCATATCTGTGTTTATGAGTGCTGTCTAGTCAACTCCCTTAATGGTCTGCTCATGGGGCAGGGGGACTTGATGACAAAAGAAATCATATGTAAGTGTATTAGCCTTCTAAGAAAATGTTACTGAAGTTGGTTTGTGTTCAGGGGGCCAAGCATCTTTGTTCATCCAGTCTTAGTGTTAGAGGTGAGGTCCAAACCCTGCAAGTCAGTGGCCTCGAGATTGGGGTCCTGTGGGCTCCCTGTTAACTTCCTAGAAGACAAGACCTTGCCACCATTCCGTGGATTTTTCTCAGATACAGTACAGTGTCGTGAACTGATGAGCTTTCCCAAAGCATCACTGAAAGGACTGAAAAGCCCATGCGTACATGTCTGCCTTCATCCAGAGCTGTGGGCTCTGAGGGCAAGACATTTGGCCAGGCCCAAGAGGCATTACTAGTGAGGAAGTTGTGGCGCTCTGTCTCTCAGGAAGAGAGACAGTGAGACACAGACTTGAGAAGGGCCAGCGTTGGGTTGAGGTTTGCTCCCCCTCTCAGATGCATTGTTCTGCTGTTTGGATGCTATCCTTCCTTGGAAAGAGGCTTGGTGGCAAGCTGGTGACCTTATTTCAAGTGTCTTTGCCATGTTTTTTTTTTTTTTAAACTGGGCTCTAAAGAGCATCTTGATCTCTTTGTAGTTAGTTGCCTTTCTTTTTATAAACTTCCCATTTTCCTGGCTCCAGGCGATTGGTGCTCTGCTCTTCTAGGTCTGTCCTTGATCGTTGGGGTTGATGTGTCAGGCAGGTGCTGGCCCTTGGCATGTTGTGATGGGAATTCTGTCCTGCTTGTGGCCAGGGAGCACTTTACACCCCTGCTCAGCGGGGTTAGAAATCACTCATGTATTAACGTGCATGGGAGAGGGGATCCTTTCCCCCCAATGCAAAGTGCTGGGCGGTGAGGGAGGAGGGGGAGACAGTCAGTAGTGTGCCCACACTGCATAGTGACCTGAGTCCAGAAGAGCACACTCAGGGCTTGTCCTGTGCAAGGAGGAAGAGGAGGGGGTCTGCTGGTAAGGAAGTGGGGTGACCTTCCTCCTGACCCCTTACAGCCCAGCCCAGTCACCAGGGCTGAGCAAACTGAAATGTGGGCAGGAGCTGGTGCCAAGGGCCAGCCTGAGCCTAGAGGCATGGAGATGGCCGCCATCAGGATGGTTCCTGACGGCCATCTACTGTCAAACCTCAGACATGGGTGTCGCTTGTTGATTGATACCTGAGCTGGGTGAGCCTGAGGCTGACTTTACATGCAAATGTAGCCGAAGGTGAGTGTTTTTCCGCATGGAATAGGTGGAGTTTAGGAGCAGAGCACTCAAGCCTGGCAAGGAGAGACTTGAGGCTTGCAAGAACAGAAAGCTCAGAGCACCGACTCTGGGCTGCCCCTGGGCCCCCCATATCCTTCCTGTCAGAAAGGTTGGAAGGACTCCAGGAGGTCCTCCCTCACAGCTTTCTTTCTCTTTCCACCTCTGATGGCTGCGGACAAAGCTGGGCTCGTCCTCCATTGCGCCTTGTCCCCAGTGTCCCCCCTTCCTGTTTTTCTCCACCTGTTCCCTAATTCTTCCTCACTTCCCCTGTTTTTCTGGAAAAAGAATCTTCCGAGTGGCAAAGTAAAAAAGGAAACTGAGGAAGGCGCAGAGAGGAGCCGTGGAGCTGTGGTGAATCACGCGCGGGGTGGGCTGGGGATCAGGCTTGTCAGATGTCCCCGGCTCTGAATTAACCCGCTGCCAAGCGCCCAGGCGGGAAGGGGTAATTATCCTCCCCCTCCCGGCACTGCAGGCACCATGACTAACAGGGAAGGGACGGGAGGCTCCCAGCGCCAGGGCTGGGGGGATTCGACCCTGACTAGGCAGTGATGCTTTGTGAACACGGTGGCTGGTATGCACCTTTTTCTTCTTTTTCCTCCGAAATAACAGGGACCAGGGCTGTGCCCCCATCTTATCTGCAATGAGGGGTGCATTTATCCTTTCCAGGGAGTGGCAGCCTGGGTGGTGGGAGAGCCTCTACCATTCTGTGCCCCTCCTGTGCCCTGCCGGTCACCTGTGCCACAGCCGGGGGGGGGGGTGAAAAGTCAGTCTTCACTCTCCGCTCTTAGTTCTGCATGTTTATTTCCTGTCTAGCCTGCTTAGGTTGGAGATTAGATAGTTAGGGAGGCCTCTGAACAGTGTTGTGTTAGTGATGGAAGAAAGTAGGGGGGTTGAATTTGTTAGGCCAAACCTTCCCCTTTTGTAAACTCCCTGCTAGGACTCTCGCGCATTCCTAAAAGACCTGGGCAGATGGGCTTTGGCCCGTGTCCTGCACTGAAGACCGCTTTCTTTAGTCCTGGGTCAAGGTGCATTCACCCACCTTGTCCGCCTTGTCTGCAGCCTCTTCCTGCCTGTCCTTCTCAGTGAAGGCAGTCTTTTGCTTGATGTCACTTTATGTGTTCATGAATAAAGAAAGCTGCTTAAGGAAAAATAAATCTGAGCTCCTAGCTAGTCAGGAGACTGAGATCAAAGGATTGCAGTTTGAAGCCAGCCCAGGCAGGAAAGTCTAGGAGACTCTTTTCTCCCATTAACAAGCATAAAGCCAGAGTGGAGCTGTGGCTTAAGTGGTAGAGTTCTAGCCTTGGGCATGAGAGTTTAGGGACAGTGCCCCAACCCTGAATTGAAGCCCAGGGGCCATACTCTCTCTCTCTCTCTCTCTCTCTCAGAAGAATCCCAAGGCAGTCAGCACTTGCCATCTGTGGTTATTCACATAATTGGCTGAAGTGAAATAGGTTGGTGGAAGTTGTTTAAGGTAAAGTTCAGTCAAGGTCATGTTGTTTAGATTCTTTCATGTCCTCCCTGCTTTTTCCTATGTTACCTAGTTCAGGAAATCATTTTGAACATTTGAGAAGCTTGGAAGCTCCAGAGAATAGCTCATACACGTATGCTTAAAAAGTTGCCTACGGAACTCTCCATACCCATGCAATCCACGGGGTTCACTGTTCTGACTTTGAACAAACATCTGAGTCATCTGCAGCCTCCGTCTCTACCTAATATTATTGACATTTCGGAATCAATTATCAAGTACCTGCAATATGAAAAGCCCTGTGTTTATTTAGTCAGGTGGCATTTTGAGCTTTGTTTTTCATCTTCCACTTTTAATTGGTTGGGTGGGATTAGATATCAATGTTTTTTATTCATTTTTTAAAAGTTTTTTTTTTCATTTTTGGTCAGTCATGGGGCTTGAACTCTGGGTCTGGGTGCTGCCCCTCAGCTCTTCAGCTCAAGGCTAGCACTCTACCACTTGAGCCACAGCGCCACTTCCAGTTTTCTGGTGGTTAATTGGAGATAGTCTCACGGACTTTCCTGCCCAGGCTGGCTTTGAACCGAGATCCTTGTGTGTGGTCTAATGGTTCATCTTGACCAAGAATGGCAGGGTTGAACCAGACTATTTATTAAAGTCTTCTCCAGTTAGGCCTGCTATGTATCAACCACTGTCAGAATGCCTGCAGCAGTCGGTTTGATACTTAAGAGACTGTAGTTGAATAAAAGCTTCCACTGGGCAGATAGTGAGGAGGCATTTACTTCTTAATGCTGCTTTTCATTACCTTTTCATCATGTCCCAGTCCCACAACGGAGCTGCTTACATTAAAAAAGGAGAAGGTCTGAGCAATTATTTTGAGTCATTTTGCAGTTTCCTCCGGAATCTTTCTGCGAGTGGATTCATGTCAGGACGGGAGATGGGGGCGGGGGGGGGGGGAGGCGCAGGGGCTGCCAGCTGCCCGCTGCTGAGGGTGAACCCTGGGTCATTAGTGTTGGTGATCAGTCCCCTGCTGTTCTTAGAAGAGCCGAAGACAGGGCAACAAGGACAATAACATCTCCTCCATGGCTGGTGTGGGGAAAGGTGAAGGCCAGAGACGATTTAAGGGCTCCTTCTGTCGTTTGGGCTGCCACCAGCTTGTTCCCCAGTCTGCGGTCTGTCCAGCTCTCAATGAATCCTTCCTCCTCTGCCCTCTGCATCCTCTGGTTCTTCTCTGCCTCCCAACTTCTCTGGTGTTGCCAGATGAGGAAGTTGTGAGAGGTGCAGTTGCCTGGAAAGTTCTGGCCTAGTGGTCGCCCAGGCTGGGGGGGTTTGTGGCGGCTGCGGCAAACCACAGCTGTGCGTGGTGGGAGAGCCCTTCGTGCCCGCTGCTTCCAGCGTGGGGGTGTTCACAGTCCCGACTCAGACGCAGGTCAAGGGCAGCATACAGGTGACTGTCTAGCATGGCCACCTCGGCTCTGTGATTCCCAGGGTATGAAGAGCTGGCCGTCTCTGGCTCTCCTTTTATTTGAATATTGAGAAGGTGGACATGAAGCTTTATAGGTGATTTATGAAGATAGAAAGTGAGTATCCAACCATTGATCTAGAGAGATGTTTTTAAGGATCATTTTCTGCTGGGCACCAGTGGCTCACACTTATTATCCTAGCTATTCAGGAGGCTGAGATAGGAGGATCATGTTCAAAGCCAGTCCTGGTAGAAAAGTCTAAGAAGCCCCATTTCCCAAATTGCCAGCAAAAAGCCGGGCTGGAGGCATGGGTCAAGTGGTAGAGTGCCAGCCAACCAAGCAAGTTGAATGAGCATGTGGGGCTCTGAGTTCAAACCCTAGTGCAAAAATAATTTATTTACAGGTGGTTTGAGTGACATTTTCTCTTTCAGTAAGATAGAGACAATCCTTTTAGTGCTTTAGTGTTCCATCATTAATATGCAAAAGGAAAAAAAATCTCAGTAAATTCTCAGAAAATATAATATCTAAAGACTTGTCCTGCAAAGACTTCTCATAGTGTGCTGTCAGTTGCCAAGAATTAAGTCAGAGTCTCAGCTCCAGAATAGCAAGTCTGGTTCAGGAAACGGGTAGTTCCCATGGAAACCAACCAGGAGGAGAGTGCTAAGTGAAGGCCTTAGCCACTAACCAGAATTGTTGTCGACACAAAAGTTTAATCCAATGCAGATGATTATCAGAACAAAAGTAGGCTGAGAGACAAAATCGGAGAGAATAAGGAAGCTGCAGCCTGAGACCAAGGCCTTTAATAGTGGGTGACAGGTAGAAAGGAAAGGGAAGTCGTCTTCAAATATTCTCCCCAGGTGGAAAGGTACTGCTTCAGAGACTTCTTTTGAGTAGCGTGCACGTGCACACAAAGTGAGTGATGAATGGCAAAAGGTAAAAGGTGTTTAAACATACCTATATAATGCTAAATGGCCACATAAAGAATTTACAAGCTCCCAGTCACAGGAACAGGAGGTAGAAGCAGGAGGACACAAACTAAAACCTCTCAGAGAAATCAAGGGCTGTTTTGCTGAGCCACGTGAGTACTGTTTTGTTTATGACACAGCTGAAAGTCCACTGAAGTGTTTATATTTGGTGTGAATTCGCTGGCATTTGTAGTTTCTAGACCAATCACATTATGTTTAAAATTTACATGTTTCATCAGGCCAGGCGAGGTGGCATACACCTGTAATCTCAGCACGTGGAGGGCCGAGGCGGGAGGCTCATGAGTTTGAGGTCAGCTAAGATATATAGACCAAGGCTCTGCCTTGAAAAAAATTGCTGCAAAATTTCAGAATAAAGTTCTGTCGATTATTTTGAGTTTTAAGTCAAACAAAAAACCTTTTTAATGGGGTTCATCTCTTTCAACTCTCTTCAGCTTCTCCTGGAAAGGTCAGTTAATATTTTGAGTCATTCCAACTGTTCAGCTTCATGTTATACTGTGAAAATAGTCTTAGGCAAGAAGGGAGTGGAGAGCTGGCTAAGCTCTAATAAAACTTTATTGTTCATGCAGCAGCTGGCAGGCTGTAGGTAGCTGAGCCGCGGCGCCACGGGAGCGCCCCTGCCTCACTTCAGAGCAGGGCCACGAGAGTCTCTTCAGTGCTGTGGGCAGCGTTTGCTTCTTCTTTCTTGTACCAATACCCGGGTGTGGACTCCAGGTCTGGGTGCTATCCCTTAGCTTTTCTCCTCAAAGCTCACACTCTACTACTTGAGCGCACCTCCACTTCAGGATTTTTGCTGGTTCATTGGAGATCAGAGTCTCAAGAACTTTCCTGCTAGAGCTGGCTTTGAGCCCTGATCCTCAGATCTCAGTCTCCTGAGTGGCTAGGATTACAGGCGTGGACCACAGACTCTTGGCTAGGGCACCATTTATTTGTCTGTTTGTTTATCTATCTATCTATCTATTTATTACATCCAGAAATCAAGGAAAGTTCTGGCTCGGGCACCTCTCTCTAGCTGACAGGAGTTATACGCCATGTCTTCTTTCCTGGTAAAAACCAGGGCAGAGAAGGCTGGCCATTGTGTGTGCGTTCTGTAAGATGGAGGGGTGCGTGTGCACAGGAGTGTGCCCTGCTCAGCTCTACCTTGGCAGGGCGTCCAGATCCCCGCGTGCGTTCCTGCATTGTGTGCATTCCTGAATTCAGGACTGGAGCAGAAGGCAGGCAGGGGGGAGGCGGGCCCATTGTGCCGCCGCACCCTGCTGCTCCCCTCCCCCCCAGTGCCTGCCCACATTGTGGTCCCAGAGGCCCTGCACCCCTTCCTTGGACGTGCCCCCCTCTCCCCAGGCAAGTGACACAGAAGTGTCCTTCGCCCTCTCAGAGGCATGTCCCAGCTCCTGGCCTCCCCTTCTCTTCCCATGGCTGCTCTTGCCCCTCACCCCCACCCTGGTCAGGCCCCTGTACCTGCTCTGACACCCTTGCCCGCCCTCCTGCGCCTCTCTGCTCGTGCCCCATGGTCCTTGCTCATGTGCACACGCCACTTCCTGTCATCGTCCTTGCTCATGTGCACACGCCACTTCCTGTCATCGTCCTTGCTCATGTGCACACGCC